CTGTGTGTGTGAGGGGAGCCCAGGGTTCAGGGCCAATGTGTGTGAGGGGAGCCCAGTGTGCATGGCCAATGTGTGTGTGTGAGGGGAGCCCAGTGTGCATGGCCAATGTGTGTGAGGGGAGTACAGTGTGTATGGGGAGCCCAGTGTGCATGGCCAATGTGTGTGAGGGTAGCCCAGTGTGTAAGGGGCTCAGTATGTGTAGGGGCGAGCTCAGCGTGCGTGGGGGGGAGCCCTGCGCGCATGGCCGGTGTGCGTGGGGGAAGCTCTGCGTGCATGGCTGTGTGCGTGCGTAGGGGGAGCTCTGCTCGCATGGCCGGTGTGCGTGCGTGGGGGAAGCTCTGCGGGCATGGCCGGGGTGGGGGGGGAGGTGTGCATGGCCAGTGTGGGGGAGCCCAGTGTGCATGGCCAGTGTGGGGGAGCCCAGTGTGCATGGCCAGTGTGGGGGAGCCCAGTGTGCATGGCCAGTGTGGGGGAGCCCAGTGTGCATGGCCAGTGTGGGGGAGCCCAGTGTGCATGGCCAGTGTGGGGGAGCCCAGTGTGCATGGCCAGTGTGGGGGAGCCCAGTGTGCATGGCCAGTGTGGGGGAGCCCAGTGTGCATGGCCAGTGTGGGGGAGCCCAGTGTGCATGGCCAGTGTGGGGGAGCCCAGTGTGCATGGCCAGTGTGGGGGAGCCCAGTGTGCATGGCCAGTGTGGGGGAGCCCAGTGTGCATGGCCAGTGTGGGGGAGCCCAGTGTGCATGGCCAGTGTGGGGGAGCCCAGTGTGCATGGCCAGTGTGGGGGAGCCCAGTGTGCATGGCCAGTGTGGGGGAGCCCAGTGTGCATGGCCAGTGTGGGGGAGCCCAGTGTGCATGGCCAGTGTGGGGGAGCCCAGTGTGCATGGCCAGTGTGGGGGAGCCCAGTGTGCATGGCCAGTGTGGGGGAGCCCAGTGTGCATGGCCAGTGTGGGGGAGCCCAGTGTGCATGGCCAGTGTGGGGGAGCCCAGTGTGCATGGCCAGTGTGGGGGAGCCCAGTGTGCATGGCCAGTGTGGGGGAGCCCAGTGTGCATGGCCAGTGTGGGGGAGCCCAGTGTGCATGGCCAGTGTGGGGGAGCCCAGTGTGCATGGCCAGTGTGGGGGAGCCCAGTGTGCATGGCCAGTGTGGGGGAGCCCAGTGTGCATGGCCAGTGTGGGGGAGCCCAGTGTGCATGGCCAGTGTGGGGGAGCCCAGTGTGCATGGCCAGTGTGGGGGAGCCCAGTGTGCATGGCCAGTGTGGGGGAGCCCAGTGTGCATGGCCAGTGTGGGGGAGCCCAGTGTGCATGGCCAGTGTGGGGGAGCCCAGTGTGCATGGCCAGTGTGGGGGAGCCCAGTGTGCATGGCCAGTGTGGGGGAGCCCAGTGTGCATGGCCAGTGTGGGGGAGCCCAGTGTGCATGGCCAGTGTGGGGGAGCCCAGTGTGCATGGCCAGTGTGGGGGAGCCCAGTGTGCATGGCCAGTGTGGGGGAGCCCAGTGTGCATGGCCAGTGTGGGGGAGCCCAGTGTGCATGGCCAGTGTGGGGGAGCCCAGTGTGCATGGCCAGTGTGGGGGAGCCCAGTGTGCATGGCCAGTGTGGGGGAGCCCAGTGTGCATGGCCAGTGTGGGGGAGCCCAGTGTGCATGGCCAGTGTGGGGGAGCCCAGTGTGCATGGCCAGTGTGGGGGAGCCCAGTGTGCATGGCCAGTGTGGGGGAGCCCAGTGTGCATGGCCAGTGTGGGGGAGCCCAGTGTGCATGGCCAGTGTGGGGGAGCCCAGTGTGCATGGCCAGTGTGGGGGAGCCCAGTGTGCATGGCCAGTGTGGGGGAGCCCAGTGTGCATGGCCAGTGTGGGGGAGCCCAGTGTGCATGGCCAGTGTGGGGGAGCCCAGTGTGCATGGCCAGTGTGGGGGAGCCCAGTGTGCATGGCCAGTGTGGGGGAGCCCAGTGTGCATGGCCAGTGTGGGGGAGCCCAGTGTGCATGGCCAGTGTGGGGGAGCCCAGTGTGCATGGCCAGTGTGGGGGAGCCCAGTGTGCATGGCCAGTGTGGGGGAGCCCAGTGTGCATGGCCAGTGTGGGGGAGCCCAGTGTGCATGGCCAGTGTGGGGGAGCCCAGTGTGCATGGCCAGTGTGGGGGAGCCCAGTGTGCATGGCCAGTGTGGGGGAGCCCAGTGTGCATGGCCAGTGTGGGGGAGCCCAGTGTGCATGGCCAGTGTGGGGGAGCCCAGTGTGCATGGCCAGTGTGGGGGAGCCCAGTGTGCATGGCCAGTGTGGGGGAGCCCAGTGTGCATGGCCAGTGTGGGGGAGCCCAGTGTGCATGGCCAGTGTGGGGGAGCCCAGTGTGCATGGCCAGTGTGGGGGAGCCCAGTGTGCATGGCCAGTGTGGGGGAGCCCAGTGTGCATGGCCAGTGTGGGGGAGCCCAGTGTGCATGGCCAGTGTGGGGGAGCCCAGTGTGCATGGCCAGTGTGGGGGAGCCCAGTGTGCATGGCCAGTGTGGGGGAGCCCAGTGTGCATGGCCAGTGTGGGGGAGCCCAGTGTGCATGGCCAGTGTGGGGGAGCCCAGTGTGCATGGCCAGTGTGGGGGAGCCCAGTGTGCATGGCCAGTGTGGGGGAGCCCAGTGTGCATGGCCAGTGTGGGGGAGCCCAGTGTGCATGGCCAGTGTGGGGGAGCCCAGTGTGCATGGCCAGTGTGGGGGAGCCCAGTGTGCATGGCCAGTGTGGGGGAGCCCAGTGTGCATGGCCAGTGTGGGGGAGCCCAGTGTGCATGGCCAGTGTGGGGGAGCCCAGTGTGCATGGCCAGTGTGGGGGAGCCCAGTGTGCATGGCCAGTGTGGGGGAGCCCAGTGTGCATGGCCAGTGTGGGGGAGCCCAGTGTGCATGGCCAGTGTGGGGGAGCCCAGTGTGCATGGCCAGTGTGGGGGAGCCCAGTGTGCATGGCCAGTGTGGGGGAGCCCAGTGTGCATGGCCAGTGTGGGGGAGCCCAGTGTGCATGGCCAGTGTGGGGGAGCCCAGTGTGCATGGCCAGTGTGGGGGAGCCCAGTGTGCATGGCCAGTGTGGGGGAGCCCAGTGTGCATGGCCAGTGTGGGGGAGCCCAGTGTGCATGGCCAGTGTGGGGGAGCCCAGTGTGCATGGCCAGTGTGGGGGAGCCCAGTGTGCATGGCCAGTGTGGGGGAGCCCAGTGTGCATGGCCAGTGTGGGGGAGCCCAGTGTGCATGGCCAGTGTGGGGGAGCCCAGTGTGCATGGCCAGTGTGGGGGAGCCCAGTGTGCATGGCCAGTGTGGGGGAGCCCAGTGTGCATGGCCAGTGTGGGGGAGCCCAGTGTGCATGGCCAGTGTGGGGGAGCCCAGTGTGCATGGCCAGTGTGGGGGAGCCCAGTGTGCATGGCCAGTGTGGGGGAGCCCAGTGTGCATGGCCAGTGTGGGGGAGCCCAGTGTGCATGGCCAGTGTGGGGGAGCCCAGTGTGCATGGCCAGTGTGGGGGAGCCCAGTGTGCATGGCCAGTGTGGGGGAGCCCAGTGTGCATGGCCAGTGTGGGGGAGCCCAGTGTGCATGGCCAGTGTGGGGGAGCCCAGTGTGCATGGCCAGTGTGGGGGAGCCCAGTGTGCATGGCCAGTGTGGGGGAGCCCAGTGTGCATGGCCAGTGTGGGGGAGCCCAGTGTGCATGGCCAGTGTGGGGGAGCCCAGTGTGCATGGCCAGTGTGGGGGAGCCCAGTGTGTGTGTTTTTTCAGGGGGGGAGGTGCATGACCAGCGTGGCTTATGAGGGACAGTATGGCAGTAGTACATGGGTGCTGTTGCATGTGGTGGATGCTGGTAATGCCGCGCCTGTCTGGTGTGACTTGTGGACAGTATAGGTTACTATGGGACTTGCTAGGAAAGTATGGTACCAGAGAACATATTGATACAACCAGCAGGTCGCGGCATGATGTGCTTTGAGGCGGGTGCCATCAGTGAATGGAGAATTTGGGATGCTGAGTCAGACTTTACGTGAAGTGTAATTGAGATAAAAGTCGGGGCTGAGATGGGAATACATTTTAATTGTAGGTCTATTTTAAAGCACCCAGTTGGAATTTGCATAAGCCAAGGCTGGACAAATCTCAGGAGCCAGGTCGCTAGTGCTCCTTAAAAATTCCAGCTGGGGGGCGAATATTGAGGTTTTCTCAAGTTGTCAATGGAGCTGGATCCTAAGAACAATCCTCTTGGCTCCTGAATATTGATTTGCCCACCCCTGACATAAGGGATATATATGCATAGATAGATGGACACACACAGACACACACTTGATTCTACTTTAGCACTTCTTGTTGGCTGACAATGGAAGCTCTGGCAGCGTGTTTTGCTGTTATTTTGTTCCCACAAGTTGAAACTAACAGACTTTTGTGTCCTGAGAACAATTTGCTGCAGTGACTGTGCAGAGATTTCTCGGCATGCTTGAATGACCCTGGGAACGTTTGCTGCTGCTGAGCACCTAATGCAGTTATAGAAGTTCCTGCACAGTTCCATTATGTGATGGTAATGGCGGCATGGTCGGTCTCAATCTGGCCATACAACTGTAATTATGTTGTTGTCTTGTGCATGCATTATTTTTGCAATTGCACCGCACTGGAACACGGCATTGCTGTACCACATGTTCCAGTGCAGGCGATCACACTGCGGGCAGGAGGCGTGTCTGCGGTGCCATTGAAATGTATGGCACTGCCACTCCCCTCCCACCCCAGAACGTGGGGAGGTTGTGATTATGCGATCACTGAGGTGAACGCACTGGATGGTGTGAACAAGCCTCTGGCCCTCTTTTGGGTCACAGGTGTAGATTTACTAATGTTCTCCTGTGACCTAATGTCAACCTCTCGTAGGCTACCGCCCTCTATATTCTGACAGCGCAGAGCCACGCTGCAGCCGGGAAGGATCGGGACATTGTCAGGATCTACCCCGCTACCTCACAGCTGGCTCTGCCTCTCTAGAGCCAGATGTGGCCGCCCCCTCCCCTGTCTGTCCTCCCAGTAAGTGCTGCTGGAACTGAGAGGTGAGGGTGGGGAGTGATGACAGTGACCGCTCTCCGCTGTGAGCTGAGCGATCAGCCGTTTGTGATCTATAGAGCTGCAGTATCACACATCAGCTCAAGGTGTTGGGAAGCGTGCATTTTACTCTCCCAATACTTCTCCTTTTAAGATGTCTCTTGACAAGATAGTATAAAGTAGGGCTGCTGTCAAAATACCCAGATGGTGCTGGCGGCTGATTGGCTGCAAACACTGGTTGGCCGAATATTTACCAGCTTGTTCCTTCGCTAAAAGTTGATTTAATGATTAACATCTGGCAATGGTTTAGGGCCACAACAGAGCAAATGTCCTGCTGAATCAGCTGAGTGCCATCCCATGTGTACTTTACTGCACTCTGAATAAACACATTTCAATGTGTGCATGGGAGAATTATCATTTTTTATGTAACACAAAACCCAATGTGGGCGGCCTTTTGTGAGTTGACCTTCAGAAAAACAATAAACTAGTAAGCTGGAGTGATGGACTAAGAAATTAACCCGCAGCAAAGTGATCAGCACAGGGCATTGTCAAACGCAGGTTTTGTGGTTGGTGTTAAATATTGGAAAATCTGATCATATTCCATGAAACAAGATGTGCGCCTCAAGCTGGCCACACAATAGTAGAATTCCACTGAAAAATGTGGGGGTCAAATTGATCGTTGTTAAACATAGTGACAAGAATTGAAGCGGGATGGAAAAGGTTCTCGAACAAACAAATATTGTGACACTGAATGCGGTTTTCATTCCTCATTCATTTCCAAAATCGAATGTTGATATAAAACCAAATTTGGAATGATGATCTTCAAGTCTCTGATGGCATTGCTAAATGTTCGGATGAGATTTTTGTTATGAATGTCCAAATGAAAATCTACCAGTGTATGGCCAGCTTAACACCTGATTTAGGATAGTGTTGTGACCATTCTGATCACCTTTGTACAGGTTACGTTGGGCACATTTTGTAACCAGTTGATTTCCCATTGCTGTTTTTGGAATGGTGCTGGGATAGTGGCTTTTTGTCTTTGCACCGATGGCCCTTGGTCTTGCCAGCACTGAAGGCGCCAGCTGTCTCTGACAACCAATATGCAGGGCTGCACATAGGAACTGAAACAATCCTCTCATGAGCTCCCGATGCTTCTACAGCTCAACAGAATGCTTCTGCATTGTTTACGTCAGGTGTGTAGTGATGTTGCAGCACTGCCTCTATATACAGAGGCTGGGACAGAGCTGCTATAGGTCTGTCCATCCAGCTTCTCCCAGCAGCAACAGATCACTGCTATAGTGATATATTGCTGGCTGACTGCAACCAGGAATCTTAAAAATATATATATAGCCGACCTGTGACAATGAGACTGTCACATATAGCCGACCTGTGACAATGAGACTGTCACAGGTCGGCTCAAAACACTGACCCCATAGTTCTCCTTTAAGTCCCCGTTTCACTGTAGAGCAAATTGTGGCAATCTGCTTGCATCACACAATTAATGGATTTTAAAACTTTGTAAGATGCGTGAATTGCTCGGGTGTGATGAGCACTTTTATGCAGTGCTTAGAATATGGCAGCCAAATTGCTGATATAGAAAGGGTAGAAGTTGGTACTATTTACAAAAATTAGGCTGGGTTCAGAATGAATGGAATGGCACTGAACTGCACTGTGTGTTATCACAGCCTGTGTTTGTGTGTCCATAAACTTTGATACATATACACAAAAAGTTGCACAAAGATACCCCAGGCTGCCACATCTACTTACAAGCTAGATAATTTAAGCCAATGTCTTTTGAACAATAGAAACGCACAAAAAAACGTTGTCTATATTTATGTACATTTTTTTTATTTTCCTCCCATAAGGACAATGATGATGCCACATTGTGCTCATCTGTGAGTTAAAGATGTGTTTTTTTTGTTAAAGGTTTAAAAAATTGAGGACTAAATCTTCACTGCATTGTCTTTGATTGAGGGTTACATGTAATTTCAGACGAAAAAAGGAAAAACAATTCTGGGAGCTGTATAAGTATAGTAAAAATTGCAATTTATGACATTAAATCACAGAAGGTAAGGGCTTAAACATGTTCCTAAGTATTTAGGGAGAGGACAATTTGAGAAGACGTAGCACACCATGACATGCCTAGTTTACCTGGACTCCTCCCTGAATCTGCACTTATGAGACTTTGGTGTTCTCCATGTAGATTATATGGTGGTTTGAGGTGAAAGGTAATTTACAACTGTAGGTATTTGTAGTTGGGCAGTAACCCTATAGAAGAGGTCTACAAACTGTTGGTGCATGTTTTGAGTTCCATTTGTTTAACATTTTATTATTTTGACTTCTGTTGTAGGGTATTTCACATTGGAGAGAGACCAATTTCTGAACAGGAACACAATGAGTAATCACCCTGCTGCACAATTAGAAATGTTCAACAGCTTGGAGAGTGAAGAAGATGTGAAGGTGAAGTCCTGCTCTACAAATACTGAAGTTTGCTCAAAGTCTTCACCATTCAATTGCCAAAGGGCGAGTAGTACTTCCGTACAAAGTCTTCATGACGGAATGGCAATGAAAATAGGAAGCTTGCAACAGGTAGACATGTCCGATAACCCAACATTAACTGTCAAAGAAGAACTTAATGACATTGAGTACTACCAGGAGCAGCCTGTGTCAAAAATGGAACTAAAATGTAGTATTTGTTCTGAAATGTTCCATTTTGTTTCAGAGCTGATGTTTCACGAACAGCTCCATAACGGCAACAGTCGCTTTGATTGCCAGCTGTGCGGTCGACAATTTCAGAGCTCTTCCAACCTGAAAGATCATTATAATGCCCACACAGGTGAACGACCTTATAAATGTGAGTTATGTGCCAAAGCTTTTACACAATCTTCCTCCTTATTGGCTCATAAACGTACTCATACAATAGAGAAACCATACAAGTGTGAGGTATGCGGACGACTATTTAAAGATGCTTCTAATTTTATAAAACATAGACGTCTTCATGGCGAAACACTAGAGCTGGCTCAAATGCAAGCAGGAGGGCTGCTCATGAACGAAAAGCCCTACGCCTGTACATACTGTGATAAAGCCTTTAAGCGTACTTCTGATTTGAAAGATCACGAGCGTGTCCACACTGGGGAAAGACCCTACCGTTGTAGAATCTGTCAGAAGTGTTTCACTCAGTCTTCAGTGTTGACTGGGCATATGCGCATACACACTGGGGAACGGCCATTTCACTGTAACGTATGTGGCAAAACCTTTAACAACTCTTCCAATTTTAAAAAGCACCAGCGTACCCATTCCATGAAGGACATCCTTGCAAAGGTCAAAGTAGAAAATAGTTTGTCTCCCCAAAAGCAGCCGCTTCAAAGTAAAAATGGTATGGCCTCTCCAAAGGGCATTGGAGCCATGCTGAGTAATAACCATCATCCGAAAACTTTCCCCAAAATGATGCTGGAGGATGACGACTGCAAATTTGTACTGGAAAAAGGCCCTATGGAAGTAAATGGGAAGAAAGCATTAAGTGTGGATGTCTTGCAGTCGTCGTGTGCTGGAATGACCAGCACCATGAAAGACAAAGATGCAGCATATTCCCAAATGCCAGAAACAAAGCCGAAAGCCGTGGTGCTCATTGAGGATGATGTAGTCATAGATTCAGACAGCTCCGTCTCGAATGTTGACACTGAAGCCAAAGGAAATGCATGTAAAGGTAACTTGGACAGATGCATCCAGCCAAAACTGACAAAAGCTGCAGAGTTTGGATATAACACTACTTCTTCATTTATAGTGGAAACAGTGCAACATGGCTCAAGAGAGCATGAGATATATGTGGAAATATCCGATGATAGCACTACTGATGATGATGATAATTATGACAATGATGTTGTTCCTCTTGCCAAGAGATCATTTCTGTGCCAGGATCAAGATCCCACCCATCGACCAGAAGTAAAATTAGAGTATGATAACTCTGTGGAAGAGGAGATTGGTTGTCACGAGGAACCTACACAGAATGTAATAAACTCTCAGAGTTTAAAGGGTGGGATTTGCAGTGTTACAGACCTAGAGGAATCCGAAGACATGCTTTTTGAAAGATCCATGCAATGTTGGGATTCCCAGATCGATGACTCTCTCGATGACCAAGATGACTTACAGTTTTTGGAGATGGACCCCAAACCATACATTTGTTTTGTATGCGATAAACGATTTAAAAGGGCTACGGATTTAAAGGAACATTTGCGGGTCCACACAGGGGAGCGACCTTTTGTGTGCCAAGTGTGCGGCAAGGGTTTCACCCAGTCCTCGGCCCTCTCTAGCCACCAACGCATCCACACTGGTGAAAAGCCGTTCCAGTGTGACATATGCTATAAAAGGTTTAATAATTCTTCCAACTTTTCTAAGCATAAGCGGGTTCACACAGGAGAACGCCCTCACAACTGTCCTCTCTGCGGAAAGAGCTTTCAGGAAAAGCGTCGAGTAAAGCGCCATATGAAATCTGTTCACCATGTCCAGGAGTGAGACGTTACACTGTTTACACACTTTACTGACTGTTCTCCAAAATGTATCATGCAGACAGTGCTGTATTATGAACTATTGTAGCAAGTTAGATAATTTTCTTATGGAAAAAGCTATAGCTTTAACAGCTACACTAAGCTTCACATTGTAACTGTAGGAAAATCTGCCTTTTCAACCAAGCTTTCCCATAAATTATTTTCGGAGTATAAATATTAGTTTTCGGTTTTCTGTAACTGCTATCATGGATATAATCTGAAAAATCTGATGCTTGTGTAAAGGTGAAGCATTTGCACAACATTCAGTAGAGGAGTTTTTCTTTCTGGAAACCGAAACCCCCTTATGAGATGTGAATACATTTTTAATTAAAGTAAAATTAGTGTCCAGTATATGCATGCCTCGAATCCGTAGATGAGACAGTTTTGGGGAAAAATGGTCATTTTAATGCACCCAACGTGTTCCTGTCCCATTTAAAGACTCCACATGTTAAAACTGATGAAACCGATTGTGTTGATATCCTATCGTTCAGTTTTCAATTTCAACTTGTTATAGTTGCAGGAATCTTACATATGTTTGCAGTACATCATTTTACAGTCATTGCTTACAGATGCCTTACCCATCTACAGAAACTGTATGCAGTATTCCACACACATGCTAGAAGTGTGTTTCTTACGAATGATATTTTAGGCAACCAAAGTTTCACATAAAGTGTTAGGAAAACTAGCACAGCTGCAGATGTTTTGTATGTGTGTTTTTTTTTTTTCGTTTTTTTTCCTGAGGGTTTTCTGGGGTGGGGTGGGGGAGGTCTGGGTAACTGGATCCAAGAACACTCATGTTTCAAAATGCTATGACTTTAATTTTTGTTTCTACTAAAAATAATGGGACTTAATAGTTATGCCTCAAGGGTAGCCCTATCTTTTTTTGTTAAAAAAAAAAAAAATAGTGAAGTTCTTACTGGTGACCAGTGGGCAAAAAACATTGGTAACATTGAATGCAATGGCTAATGTAGTTTCTGTACAGGAAATAATTCAGTTCATCATACATCATTGGTCAATAGTCACCTGGGTTATGTGCTTTATGAAATCCTATTAAGGAAAAGTGGCACCATTAAAAAAAAATATATATATTTATATATTTGACCTAATGTGCTCATTCAGATGGGCATGCACGCCTGTAAAGACCCATTCCAGGAAGGGACAGGTGCTGTGTGTAATTGCGCACAGCAGTCTCTTCTTTATGGGACCATGCGGCTATGTGCAATTGCACCCTGTCACCTGCACATCCATGAAGATCTGGGTGTCCGCACTTGTACACACAATGTCTGTGTCACTGGATGGGCAGGTTCAACTGTGTGTGTGTGTAATCGGGTGTAGCCATGTCCTCCCATAGGGAAGTCCATAATAGAAGTCACCAGCACTTGATATGTGCAAGAAGTAAAGCACTTTTTATTAATTGTCACATGCGTCATACAGCCAACGTTTCAGGGCCACGCAGGGTCCCTTTTGCTGGGCGACATAGTGACTGTCACTATGTCGCCCAGCAGAAGGGACCCTGCGTGGCCCTGAAACGTTGGCTGTATGACACGTGACCATTTAATAAGTGCCTTACTTGTGCCTATCTGACACGGCACCATCCGTGTTGTCACTTCTTCAAGCACCAACTTTTCAAGAAGGTCTGTACGCTGTATGGAGTGCGGGTGATTTCGTATCATCGCTCCCATAGGGAAGAACACGCTCCTGCACACAGTTTCATCCAGCACCTGTCCCTTCCAGGATCGGATCTTTTAATGTGAGTGTATGCCCGTCCTGAATGAGCCCAAACAGCCGGAAACCATTCTGAGGTGACAGCGCATGCATTATTTATAACTCATAGGGGTGTGCAATAGTTTTTATTTTCCTCTCCTTACCTGTACTACCAGAACACTGACATTTTAGGCTGACTAACTTTAGTAATTGTCCTTTAGTGAACTGTATCAGATTTGACATAGCCCAGATGGTGGTAAAGCTGACCTTGTGTAAACTGGACTGAAGGATCAAGCATTTCGAAGACCCATACGTTCAGTCGCAGTGCATTGATGACCTCTTTGAGGTCAGATCACCTGATTGTGGGGGAACCAGTCTGTTGGATTTCACCTACCCACTAGTGGAAAACATTTCCAATATAACGCTAGAATTTTGGTTTCTTTTATGATTTCATTTTATATAGTTTCACAGCTAAAGACACCATTACTGCATGCCTATTTATTTTCACAAAAATATTTTAACATTATAAACTGTACTGAATAAAACTTTTTATACTAGGATTTAAATATTAAAGTTGCAGGATATTTATTTATGTTGTGTATATGTGCGTCTTTAAAACTGGTGTGGTGTTTTTTTCTTTTTTTTTTTAGCAGGTGCATGTCAAGTTTTCAATATCCTCTTTAATTCTGCAATCTTTATTATTATCCCGGTTTTAGAGCAAGACGGTGGTGGCAATTCATGAAAACTGGTAGCCATTGGCCACCAATCAGCTTCTAGTTTTCATTTTCAAAGCTTAACTGAACAACCTGAAGATAGAAGCTGACTGCTCCAGATTCTGTCTGCTCCACTTTTCATAAGTAATATGTAATTTTTTTTTTTTGTTTTGGTTATATTCTTTATTTTACTAGATACAAATTAATATATCTGTAGTAAGCTGAAGTGCAAGGAGCTAGTCCTATCATATGCCCTTTAACCTCCCTGGCGGTCTGATTTTATTTCCTTTTTTTTTTTTATTTATTTTTTTAAAATTCCCGCCGGTACTGCCCCCTTGCGACGCGGACGCTCACAAGGGACGGAACCCGGAAGACAGATGTCGCGATTGGCCGGAGGACACAGTGCTCGAGGGGCAAGGTAAGTAATGCTAAACTGTAATCCCGAGTGTGGCTCGGGGTTACCGCTTATGGTACTGAAAATTAACCCCGAGCCACACTCTGGATTATGACCCAGAAGTTCAATAAAACCTATACCTGGTCCCTTATTGCATAATTGTACTTTTAATCTCTTGTACTGTAGACAGGGCAAGTAATCAACTTTGCACATACAGTCATGGGCAAAAATATTGGCACCCCTGCATTTCTGACAGATATTGCACCACTTCACGCAGAAAATTGTTGCTATTACAAATGTTAGGGATTCTCATGTTTATTTACATTGTTTGTATGTTTATTTCTTTTGTTTGTATTGGTATGACACAAAAGTGGAGAAGAAAAAAAAGCCAAACCTGACACATTCCACGCAAAACTCCAAAAATGGACTGGACAAAATTATTGGCATTCATAATTAATATTTGGTAGCACAGCTCTAGGAAAAATAACTGAAATCAATGGCTTCTTGTAACCATCAATGAGTTTCTTACATTTCGCTACAGGAATTTTGGAGCACTCTTCTTTCACCAACTGCTCCAGGTCTCTCAGATTGGAAGGGTTCCTCTTCCCACCTTATGTTTTGAGATCTCTCCGCAGGTGCTCTATGGGATTTAGATCTGGACTCATTGCTGACCAGTCCAGTACTCTCCAGTGCTTTGTCTGAAACCATTTCTGGGTGCTTTTTGACATGTGCTTTGGGCCATTGTCCTGCTGTAAGACCCATGACCTCTGATGGAGACCCAACTTTCTGACACTGGGCACTACATTGCACCCCAGAATTCTTTGCTCAGATTTCATAATGCCATGCACACAGTCAAGACATCCAGTGCCTGAAGTAGCAAAGCAACCCCAAAACATCAGCGATCCTCCACCATGTGTGACTGTAGGGACTATTTTTTCTTTTCTTTAAAGGCCTCATTTCTTTTTCTGAAAACAGTAGAATGATGGGCTGCACCAAAATGTTTTGCTTTGTCTGTCCACAGCACATTCTCCCAAAAGGATTTAGGCTTCCTCAGGTAAGTTTTGGCTAACTCCAGTCTGGCTTTTTTATGTTTCTGTGTCAGCAGTGGGGTCCTCCTGGGTCTCCTACCATAGTGTCCCTTTTCATTCAGATGGCGACGTATAGTGCGAGCTGACACAGTTGAACCCTGTGCCTGAAGGTCAGCTTGAAATTGTCTACACCAGTGGTTCTCAACCTGTATAACCTCAGGACCCACATTTGTTCTTGGTCATTAAGTTGCAACCCAAGTCGTACTGCAATTAAATGCATGGCATTGCGGTACAGCGCTTTCCGGTGCGGTGATTGAACTGTGGGCAGGAGGTGTCTTTGGGGTGCCATTCAAATGAATGACAACACAATGCACCTCTCACACCAGTGGGCGTAGCAGGTGCGTTAATTGCACCGGACTGTTTGATTAACGCACTGTACTGGTGTAAACGGGCCCTCAAAAACACTGACCGACACACACAACCATAGGTACAATCTCGCACACAAATATACACTCCCCCCAAAAAACTTTTTTTTAAAGATCCATCTTACGAGAACTGGAGTGAATCCTTAGCCTGGGGTCCAGTGTGGGCTGGTGTGCTATGACGGAGCGCCATCCATATGTGCATTGCAGGTACAGCTCCCATGCGCGCCCGGTAGAGATGCTGGGAGCCAGAATGTGACGTCACTCTGGTCCAGGCACCTCTACAGGACATGTGAGGGAGTTGTAAGCAATGTATGTATGGATGGAGCTCCCTCGCAGCTATAGATTCAGACCACCCCACCTGAAGCTGATACTCGGCGCCGAGTAGCATATGAATGGCTGCTTGGCCCGAGAACTGACAGTGCTGTGCTAGGGGGAGGCTGAGAAGCACCTCACCTAGAAAAGTGGAAGGCACGCAGCGACCCACTGAACACGGAATCGTGACCCACGTTTGGGTCACAACCCACCAGTTGAGAACCAAGGGTCTAGAAGTTGATGGAGCGTCTTTATCCACCATTTGAACAATCCTTCGTTGCAATCTTTGATCAATTGTTCTCTTTCATCCACGTCCAGGGAGATTAGCTACAGTGCCATGGGCTGTGAACTTCTTGGCAATGTTGCGCACAGTGGACACAGGAACATTCGGATCTCTGGAGATGGACTTGTAACCTTCAGATTGTCCATGCTTTTCCACAAAAACTTGGAATGCAACTATTTCTTGCAATTTTGAGAAGGTGCCAATAATTTTGTCCAGTCCATTTCTGCGTGGAATGTGTCGGGTTTGGCTTTTTTATTTTTCCCCTCCACTTTTTTTTTTTGTGTCATACCAATACAAACAAAAGAAATAAGCACGAGAATGCCGAAACATTTGTAATTGCAACAATTTTCCTGCGTGAAGTGGTGCCAATATTTTTGTCCATAATTGTATAAACATATTTAGCTGATCTTAACATGTGGGTCAGGGGCAGTCATCACAGGACCAGGGTCATGTAAATATTGAGTTTACATTTACCCTGTCTGCTTGGTGACCACAGATAAAGACTGAGAAGAGTATTGACTACACATGCCTTTTTGCCACAAGCTAT